AAAATTAAATGTATTTGTGGTTGAAGATTTTTACGTAATTAAAAAGCGAGCTGCGCCGAAAGCCATTCCACGCCATGTCTCGTGCTGTGGGACAATCCCTAAAAGTTTGCGTCACAGGTGCGGAAAGGACAGACAATTAAAACACACTCCACCACGTTAATCTTTCGCCTTTACTGTGCTTTATGGCCGGAGACGTTGCCCTAATTGAATTTTAATGCCAAGCCAGAGTCAGGTTTCGCTGTTGGGTTGTATTTTCTTTTTTTTTTTGCAACAAATCGGGGTTCTTAAAAGATTCGAAATTCGCTGGCGATGGCGGAAAATTTAGAAAAGGAAGCACAAGCTAATCGAAAAGTCTAAACAGTGCCGTCAATCGGTGTCCATCCGTTCAATGTTTACGGCAGCTCTGGCCCTCTGAATGAGCAATCACTCGCATTGAGTCCATGAGGCTTCTTTGCATGCGAAAAATGTGCGACGTCGACTGACGCAAATGTTTGCACGAAGCAAACAGACAGAGATTTCAATTTCTCAATTAGAATAGATTTTTGCCGCACAGAGTTGGGCAGAAGCAGAGATAATCTGCTTGGGGAAAACTTAAAGAATATTAAATTCGTCGTAGAGGCTTTGCTTCAATGTTTTATGGGCAAGGTAGGTAAGTTCATTGATTTTGTAGGTCGACGGATAAATAAGAGGCTTTTATAACTTACTTTGGGCCGTTTGTGTGGTGGTTCAAATGCTTTTAAGCTTCATTGGGCTTATTGAAATGTCACTTTGGGCCTAAGCCCAACAGATTAGAAACATAGATATATATATATATATATATATATTTTATTTAAAAGATTATATATTAGCCAATTATTACCTTTTTTTGGGGGGAATTGGCATAAATAACTAAGTGTGTATCTAAGTATGCAAAACAATGTGTATAACAATTAATTGTAAGCTTAACTATTATATTTTGTGTTTTTATATTAAATCATACAAATTCTTTTAGTTTTTCTTTTTACTATTAAGTAAATTTGTTTAGTTCAATAAGTAATTTACGCCGTTTTAAGTAACTTAGAAATTAAATATAACCCTTATCACATCTCATAAATGGCACAAAGGAAAATAAATCCCAAAAATCTGCCGGTCAACCTTCATTTAAAAGTTTTCAACCATAAATCGATTATTTTTCACGCATAAGTTGGTTTTGCAATGCGCTCGATCCCATTTAATCCCATGCTCAGTTAAAAAACGCGAATAAAAAAGTTTTTTAAAGTATTATCACGCTTAGTTTGCCTTCGCAAAGCAGATCGAATGCCTAAGGCCAAATGGCATTGACACATTTTGGCCAGCCTTTAAGGCTCATGACTTTAAATAAGTTTGGAAATTGTGGTAGGTCTGGGAAAAAATACAACTTAAACAGCTCAAAAGTTGTACTTTCTATCTGCAGGGGCATAAATATTCCGATATAATATATCTCCGCCATCGAATTGCCTACAAATTTCAGGCTCATATGCAAATAAGGGAATTGTTTTGTTCCGCCTGGTTATCTTTTATTTTTTCCATTTTCAATTGTGACATTGCCTGTGCCCTTTTTTGCCATCTTTTCTACCATGACTTTGTCCGCCATCTGCGCTCTTGACTTTATTTCCGCTTTCGTTTCTGGTTGCGACTTTTCTAGGGGCATAGATTGGAGTGTTTTCCCCGCGGCTAAAGCCACACACATCTTTTGTTTGCCTTTCGGCTTGGGGTTTTATAGACTTAGCGCCATGTGGGAGCGCTCAGCTCGCATTAATTTTCATTGAGCAAATCAAATGGTATAATAAAATATTTATTATTCCATTTTTTGGGGGGTTTTCTGCAATAAAACTGTTTTAGATGACATTTTTTGTATTCAAAGAAGAGTCTTCATGCTCTTTGATTTTATTTATGTTTTTATTTGCCACAGGTCTTTGTATTTTTGAAATATTTTAGGGAAAACTATTTTTATAAACTGACAGTTTATTAAAGAGAATAAATGTCTCTTTCTGCAGTAAAATAAATGGCTTGTATACCCCCAATCTAACCTAACACACATTTTTCAGTTCATTGGCAATCGCTAGTCATCCGTGCTCCCATTCATCGACACTTTATCCTTTATCCTCGGCAAGGTCACTCCGAGCAGCTTAGCTTGGCGGCCAACCAAATCCATCTAGGTTTTAGATCGACCCAGTTATGGGCATTCATCATCATCAGAGGCGCGCGCAATCCATTCATTCATTTGCTCAATGGGTAGTGGGTAAAATTATGCTTTGGTTGTTGGTTCCTTTTTTCCCTCTGCTCATCAGGCGCCAACTTGTGTGTTTACACAAGTCTCGAAGCAGGCAATCTACAACACACTGACACAATGCGGTTCCAAAATAACCGGAATATACGGACTTAAGTGCTTTCGGTTCCGTTAGTTAGGAGCCCTTCAGCGGTGAGACAACGATGAGGACTTTCGTCCACCACGAGTGTAGCCTACTTACAGACCTCCATGCCAGTTAAACCAAATGAAATTTGTGTTAAGCGCAATGTGCTAGCCTTGGCTTAAACACAATTATATACAGCTATGGTCGAAATTGTAGAACAACATCGCGGGTGCTTTTAATGGCAATGATTAGAGGTTGTTTTCTTATATTACAATCTGAAAGTACAATAAATAAAGTCGGATAAACAAAGTTTCATTGGTCACAACATAATATTAGACATTTTTTAAGTGGCCTTAAACCATTAAGACATTCTTCGTTTTTTGATTGCTACGGAATTTTAGGACATTTTTTTAATATAATATCCATATCACTTGTAGTGGATAAAATTAACCCAAAAAAAAACCGAAAAAAGCCTATCCAGTTCAAATGGACAAAGTTAAATTTTTTCAAAACATAAATTTGTCTACTTCATTAGTGGTTTAATTATTATTCTAACTTTATCCTTACTTTAAAACGATTTGTTATGTTAATGTGCTCTTTAACTATTCCACTAGAAATCAATAAAACTTTCAAACAGTTAAAAAAGAAAACCTATTATTGTGACAGCAACTGTACATTAGGCAGACAAAACCCACCCACACTTGAGTAAACATTGGTGCTGAAGGCAACACAGAATTTTAATTATGTCTAGAACAGACAGGAAAGGTTAGAGCCGAACAAAGCACCCACTCACACGTGTAAAACAGCTTGCAAATTACTTGGCTCCATTTTGGTGACTTAATTTGCCAGCCCCGCCGACAAATTCTATCAATAAAACTTTCATCAAGCCTAAGTGACATTTTCGGGGCTCGGGCTCGGGTTCACCTATTAAGTGAAACTGTTGCGGCTATTTGCACAAATTGCCATTGAAAGTGAGAGCCTGAATATGCAGGTGAAAAATGGGAAGTGGGTTTGGGGCAATTGCCATCCGGTAGTTGGAAAATTGTTTACATTGCAGGCTCAGAGCACACCGCCAAATGTAGCCGAGTGTATTCACGTTCGTAATGCACGTATACAATTTTATCGATTTTTTACGACACATTTTACACGTTGAAGCGTGCAAAATGTTATGCCAGTGGGTGGAAGGAGGTGCCTCTGTGTTTTGCCAATTTAAAAGGTAAAGCCAACCATTCCGGACTAGTGACAAAGGAGGTTAGTTTGCTCCTGACTACAAATTGAAATGTTTGCTTTGAAAATGCTAACATTGCACACAATTACAGTTGGCTATACAAACTCAAAATGCATTTAACATGATTTTGTGAATCCCAGAGAGATGAGTTGAAGCAATATAACTTTATAATTGAAGTTTAAAACTGCTTAGCTCAACAGAAGTTAAAATTGCTATGCGGGCTTGTTAATTGCTTTATCGTTTCTTAATTAGAAGCAAAACAAATTCCATCTAAATACAAATAAGCAAATGTAAATGTATTTTGCATGACATTTAAAGGTGATTCGGTTGTAGCCATGGAATGGCATTGACTTGGCACTACTTGTAATTCAATTTCCATGCTATGCCAGATCGAAATGCCAATGTGGGGGGGCGTAAATAACCCCCGAGGCCCCATTTTTCCCTTTCCCGCATTTTACTATCTAGTAATCGGAAGCAACGCGGAAATGTATGCTATCTGGTGTAGTGATTGCGAACGACAGCTGTGGCTTTCGGCACCAGCGAAATGCCAACAAATTGTCGCATTTTTTTAATAACACTTGGGAATGACTTTCTGTCGAACAGAAGGACTTTCATCCAAACAAATCCCCAGCAAATATGTGGACTTCCCTTTGGTTTGTTCGGCTTTTGTTTGGGACCCGGCCAAATGCTCAACACGTTTCACTCATTGTTGGTTGTTTGTGTTCGGAGACCCTTTTTCACCCACTTGGCATCTGTCAGATTTATGACAGTGTCGCTTGACACAGAGCTGGGATTTCTTCAACCCCCCTCCTTCGTGTTAAAAATATATGTATGTACATTAGGCTCTGCTGCAGCGCTCATAATCGATTTGGTTCGGTAGTGAATTATTCTGTTGGCCGCACATCAATCACTTGTTGGGTCTGCTCGGGCGCCATATAAGCACCTGTCAATTAGCAGTACTTAACGCTACAATGTGCACAAAATTTTCACCAAGACGGGGAGATAAATTACAATTCCTTTTAGTGCTTTTAAGCCCTAGGGAATTTCTTTCGGACAGGGTATGTCCACTAAGTATAATAAATGGATAAGGTGAAGAGATAAAGATTATCCTAATCCACAGGGATTATTGATATTATATGTATTCTAAGTAAGATTACTATTACTTATGCAAATGATGCAAATAATATCTTTATTCGTACATACATTCATCATATTAGGTAAAAATGTATAGAATAGTACAAAGAGGGGAATTCCGTAATTGTATGTATGCTAATTATAACTCCCCCTAAATGAAATCCCGCCCAGAACCACAACCACATCTCGATAGTGCAAGCCAATTAAAATGTCATATAGCGTTGACCTTTATGATTAACCTTCAACCATTTTGCTCTGCGTTTCAGGTTCTCCAGCCGCTATGAGCTTCCACTGCTGGTGCAGAGTGTCGTGATGAACGTGACCATGTTCCTGATGATCCATCTGTGCGTGAAGGTGAAGCGGGTTAATGCCAATAACCGCGAGCACGCCCTTCGAGGTGAGTCCCATCAGTGGCTTTGAAACTGTCACCCTGAGGATAAACATGTCAACATGTCGTTCCCTTTTTTCCAGGCGACGAACTGCATTTGCCCAAAGTCATGACGGACACGGATACGGGTGCCTCCGTTTCCACAGAAGCGGGCGGAAGCGTCTTGAAGCGAGTTCGCTCCCGGCATTATCTCAATGGTGAGTCAATTGATTCCAGATGGTTTGTTGGCTGCAATGAAGATAGAATATGGCATAGAAAAGTTACATATTAGATATATGTATGGGCTTAAAATAAGAACGTAGTGCTAATAAAATAAAAGTAAGAAGAAATTACTTTCCAATCGAGAGAACTATACAATCTTCTTACGACAACAATAAAACCAAATGCTTTACAAATACGTAGTAGAATCAGCTTTTCACTCAATTTAAAGCAATTTCCTGTGTCAGACTTCGGAATAGATTGAAATAAAATAATGTGTGGGGTGGAGAAGATAGAGCATTGCAATTCCATTACCATTAGCGAAGAACAGATAGTTCCACCTCCTGCTGTTCTTATCATACTGTATCTTTATGAAGCGAAGCGCTCGTTCGCCGTCCGCATTTATTTCTTCTCGTCCATTACTTCTTATCAGTAAATGAAAAAACAAGAAACTGGGTTAGGAGGTAGGTTGTTTCTGGGCGGTGAATTGATCAATGAACCAACGGGCAGAACCAATATACACCCACACCGTCACGAGCTAATTATATTGGCACGCCTTGGGCTTCTTTGCACATTGCTTGTCGTAAATTGTGCAGCGCCTAAAAGCAGTCAGAGATAATGAAAATTGATTTCCAACTGACTTGCCATCTGGCGTCGGCCCTTATATGGGGTTTTCGCTTTGAACGATTTATTGAGTTGCAAATTGTGGGGTCATGACCTCCGGCTTTCTAACTGTAGTTGAATTAAAGTTTATTCAACGATGGGCTTGGCTATTGTATAAAGTTACTATAGGAAAATTACATTACGTTCAACATGATTTTTAAAACATTATTAATCAATATTTTAGTCCTTTATCACATTATCACAATAAGAATGTAAATTCTTTTACAATCAGTATGAGTATATAATTTTCCTTAAATTTCTTTCAACTTTTTCTTTAACGTAACAGATCTGGATTTCAAATACTTTTGGAGCTGGACAGACTTTCAATCGTATCTGGACTTTATGCTCGTCGTGTGGGCCGTTGGCGCCGCTATAACATATCTGATGCTGTCCGTAACTTGGTTCATGGAATCCATGGGCTTTGTGGCGGTCTTCACTGAAGCCATGTTGGGTGTGTCTTAATATATGCTAATGCTTCACAGCAATTTTTAACACATTTTTTTTTCATAGGGGCGCCACAATTTTTGCGCAACTTTAAGAATAAATCAACATATGGAATGAGCATACACATGGTGATCATGTGGACGCTCGGTGATATGTTTAAGACTGGTTACTTTATTGTTAGGAAAGCCCCATCGCAATTCTGGATCTGTGGCACGCTGCAGGCAAGTAATATTTAAGGGAACACTTCCCTTCATCTCTTTCAAACAGAATACTTATTATTATTATTTCGAATTCCAGGTCAGCTTGGACATAGCGATCCTGTCACAGGTGTGGTTCTACCGTAAGAATTCCAAGCCGCGCGACCTGCGCCGCGGCGATTAGCAGTTTGCCCCCGAAGAACAGCCACAGCACATCAATCACCACGATCTACATACATCCCATTCCGAGGAGCATCAGCTTTCGTTGCCCGTCACAGTGAGCAGCAGTGGAGACGATCATCTGCTTACGGCTCGAGCGGATGACGAGCACTTCAAGGTGCTGGACTTTGGTCAGTGCCACGATAATCGTGCGTTTCAATATCACAATAATAACAAGATGTTGCCCAGACCAGGAGGCAGTGGCAAGAGTAAGGATGATAGCAGCATGGCAGCTGCTTTGGAGGTCGTCATTGTCCATTCCCCGGCTTCCAAGGAGCAGAGACTGATTGGCGATCAGGAGGCGAGCGGGTGCTGTCGCAGGAAGCGAAACAATGCCACCCAAACTAGAGTGGAGGGCGGTAGTTGCTGCTGTGTGATCACCACCCACCATCATCACTGCCACTGCAATCACCACAGACATCATCACCATCATCATTGTCACTACAGGAGCACAAAGAGACGAGCTCTGCTGCACCAGAAGAGGAGTCACCATCATCATAATCAGCAGCATCTGCAAATCAAGCAGACGAATCACAAACAAATGCTTCCATCTAACAACAACAAGTCTTCCTTGGACTCCAGCGAAGAGGGGATGCATCATCAGGCCATTGCCATTGAAATCGATGCAGCCACAATGAGCGAGGATGGCGAGGAGAACAACAGCAGCACAGCCACATCCAATTTTCCCTATAAAGTGGCCAGCGAAGGTGTGAAACCCATTATAATGGCTCCCCTTCGTGAGCAACATCGTCATCGAAGAGGTTCCTTGAATTCCAATACCACAATTGAAACCGATGAGCTCTCCCATGATGAAGATGATGACGATGTGCGGATGGGTTCCCACCACTTGCCAGAAGATGAGACCCAACTAACTCAGCCGGCAATCACGAATAGTTCCAGTAGCTCTACAAAAGGGGGTAAGCCTGCCTCCGCTCCAGCGCGAAATGAGTGTGTAAGGATCAAGAGAAAAAGGTTTATAGCCGAAGCTGGACAGGATTACTGTAGCAGTTGCTCGAGTTCCTGTTCCTGCAGCAGTTTGGATAAAGATCTGGAGGCTCACCATGAAATGACCGTGTCCGCAGAGTGTCATCAATGTATTCCAGGTTCCCGGAGAGCAAGTTTCTGCTCTTGTCATAATTCCAGCTGCTGTTGTGGCTCCTGTTCCCAGGAAGAAGAAGAGGAGGAAGCAGATGATGAGGATGACGAAACCACTGGACAAAGGGAGAGTTTTTGTACCGCTGTCGATCATACTATAACTCCATCGCAAGAGGGCGATGATATGCACAGCAGTACATTGACACCCCTCAGTACCCGGAGGTCTTCCTTTATGGATCAGGATCATGGAGATCACACCATGAGAAGTGATAATGGTGGAGGCAACCTAACCGATGCAGATGCCTCTTCACTAAGCCAATCAGCAGAGTACTTTTCGCTTTCGTCGACCGCTGGAGGAGCTACTTCTTTTCCCATCAAAGAACAGGATAAAAAGGATGTGCTGGAGAAGAAACAGGCGAGGGATTTAAAAGAGAAGGAAGTGGAGCCACCGTCCTGCAAACACTGGAATCGCAATCCTCATGGCAAACACAAACGAGGCTCCTCTCCTGTGGATAGCTCCTTATGACGAAGTGTCTCGCTGGTCGCCTGGCCAGCAATCGATGTGAATGCCTTGCTGCAGCAGACCATAAAAAAGTCAGCCGTGCTGCAGGAAACGCCGGTGCGTAGGAAAACCACTGCCAAACATGGTCAAGGGACCACGGGAAGTAATGATTCCTCCACGGCCACACTAACGGCCAGTGTAGTGACTGTGGCCAAACATCCGGGACCCGGACTAGTCACCACTGTCACCAGTTTAAATGGATGTGGAACCACCTATAGCTACACCACCACCATGGCTGCATCTCTAAGTCCTGCAGCACCCAGCAAGAGAAACACCAAGTACTCGCCCCTACCAAATTCCGAGGCCTACCAACGCGATCCACTGCAGCAGAGCTCGACGGAAATCATCTTATAACTCGTACAAACATACCTCTGCACCTTTAGCTTATATACAGTGCAATGCCGTATAAGAGTCAAGGGTAAACTTCATTAGTAGGAAGGGATTATACAAAATCATAACACCAAAACTCCTGGAGTGGGATAACGAAAAACCAAAATTCATAAAGCTGTTCAATTTGTTGTTATTCGGGGGTAACAAAAACCAAGATAAGGATGTAGAAAAGGCAGCCCTAGTTTATACATTTAGAATATAAATCCAATGTACATTATTTTTTATGTGAGATGCATCAAAAAAGTAGCTTAAATTTATAACTAGTTTCTAATCTTTAGTTTCGGACCATGTGAATTTAAAGAAATGGGTTTCAGCTGGGGAAGGGACCAAGCCAGAGTTGACAAAGCCTTGAAGTTTTCCAAAATCCACGCAAAGACATATCCACTTTGTGCAATTTTCTAGCTAAGAAAACTTCCCTCAGCTCGGGCCTCAAACCTTGTTTAGATTTAACTTTATAAATCGTCATTGTTTTTCTTGAATAAGTCAAATTCATTTTGTAGTCCTGTAAGTTCAATTTGTATAAAAAACACAACAAAATCAAACTTTAATCTCGATATTATTCTTTAAAGAATTTTTTATTTTATAATTTCCTAGCAGAATTTATTAGCTAAGATCTATAAAAATTGATACGAAAATAAACGAAACGAAAGCAAAATTATAATTTCCTCCTTTCATTTTCTTAATTTTTTATTTGATTTCTTTTTTATAGCACAACTTCGGATTACCTATATATTTTTCTAGATTACGTATAACAACTACTAAGCTGACAAACATCTTCCTTGCAATTTCGAGATTCCGTTGAAAACGTACACACAATTTAAATATGAAAATTTAATTATTTATAAGCCACGTAAATATGTATTCAAAGTGCTTGAGAATATTTAAGAAATATTTAAAAATTATAAATAACCGAAGGGGAGAAAAATAACATTTGTTGATTAGTACGTAGCGGCTATTTTTGATTGTTTTCCTATGTCATGTGGGTTATATAGTATCCTAAAAATAACAAATCTGTTGCAGAGGCGCAGTATTATATTCTTTGTGAAACCATTATCCAACTGTAACGAATTACTTACTACAAAAAGAAATACTAATAATCAATTACAACTGTTATAAGAACGGCATTTGGAATGTAGAATCTTTTTTCATAACCTAAATGGTTAATATACTCATATTAATGGTATTTATATAGACATATTATTAAGTCAAGAAAAGCCATAAAAAGCAATAAAATGCAAACGACAAGTGGAAATTTAATAATACTAATCGTACTTGTTTGCTACTGAATTTACTTTATTGGTGTTCTAGACATTTCTCAAACAAAATAAACATAACATATGCAATACAAACAACTGTGAGTTTTTTTAGTTCTTACCAGATCACCTTTGTGTATAGTTTATAAAATCAAAGGTATATGTTAATGGGGCTAATAAATCTTTACGGTTTTTATAACCGTTTATTATTATTATTGTCAAAAGTTTACAGCGCAGTAAACGACACATTGCCGCCTCTATATAGTATATATATATTCCTGATCGGCATCTCCTGCACTAACGCTTAACTCATTTTGAAAATATGGCTTAGTTATTTTCTAATTTATATAATATTATCCCTGCTACTTTACCCAATTTTGGTAAATATCTCTTAAATCCAGGACTACTAAAAACAATACTTAGTTTCATATTTAATATATTTTATATTTATATACAAGATATCATATATATAAGTATTGTCAATAGCTTTTTTTTAATTTTTAAAAAACCGTTGTGTGGTGGGTGTTTTCGCTAAGAAAAATATGTTTGTACTGCTGTTAAGTAACAGAGTCCTGTTAAAAGCGTTCGATGTTTATCATCTGCATCAACAGTGTCATCGCTATATTACACCAGTTACTCTCCTCTCTAACAGATTCTCTCCGCTCTCGCGGGCGAAAAGTGCAGTGAAAAGTGCTCCCAGGAACTAAAAGAATAAGTTAAATTATTGAAACTGCGAGTGCTTATTACTTTTGGCTTAGCGCGCAGTAAAAAAAATATATATAATTCGTCGGAACAATTGTGTTTGATTGAACTTCGTACAGTTATTATTTGTTTTTCCTTGCAATTGCAAAGAATACTCAAGAATAAAAGAAAACGCTGATAAGCACGAAGAACAACAAAAAACAGTTGCATTTGGAGCTTGGTAAGTGTGTGTGTTCTGTGTGAGTTGTGTCTGCTGTCTTGTGTTATCTCTCCTACGCTGTTCCCTCCTCCACTCTTTATCCCGTTTTGTTTTTGGCCAATTAATAGCTTTTGACCTCTTACTCCCACAGATATAACTTTGTGTGTTGCTCGAGCTACCCTTCTCTCATTCTTCCCTTCGATTTTCAATTGAAGCATGACAGTAGCAAACAAGCCTGTCAAATAAACGTGTGTGTTTTCATAGGTTTGTGCTCATGTTTTTGCTTGTTCTATTCATTGCACTTTAGCTTTCGACATTTCTTTCCCCAAAGGGGAAAAGGAAGGGATGCTGTCTCTGTCTCGCTCTGCTTTTCATTGAACTTGAATACTGAACATTTTCAAGTGCTCTTTTTGTCGACTTTATTTTTTCCAGTACAAGCCGCTATTCCAAGGCTGCAGTCATGGTCAAGTTTCTATTTTTAAAGATGCCTTTAAACTAAGCTTCAAGAATTTACTTTTAAGGATCTTAAATCCCAAAAATAATTACTATTTGAATAAGCAAAAAGTTTTAAATTTCTAAACACCCGATATCAATTATGCTCCAAACTTTGAAGTTTAATCATGAATTTATTTTTCAACATCAAACTTTTAAGACAATGGCCGAAAACTTTGGTTTAAAAGTTTGATTTTTAAATTTTTAAAGAGTATGTACATATATATCTTTTAAAATAGTTGGGCATTCCCTTAAATCTCTAACAAGCCATAAAACGGAATGAAAAATAAATAAAACTCCCAGCTAAAAATATGCTCAAAAGGGGAAGTAAAAAAGGACCTCGGAAAAGTACCAAAAACTTTTCGGATTTTGTTGGCTATTATTTGGCTTTATTGCCTGTGACAGCCAAGTATAAGATGAAAGGAACTGCCAAAAAGAAGCAGAGTAAAGAGATATTTTGAAAAAAATTTAAACAAATGAATGGAAGCTAAACAACGGAAAAAGCTTTATTGTATTTACTTCTGACATTTTCACGCCCACCATATATATATATACCTACATACATATGTATGTATGTACATACATCTATAGCTAAGAAGGCTTCCTCCACATATTTGGTATTCATGAATGAAATCAGAGCCCACTTTCTCACGAGAGGAAGGGAGAAAGGCTAAGCTTCGGCGATAGATAATACTCCCAGCCTTCTTTATCTTCCGTTCTCACTTCCCCCTTCCGTTTATCTCCCCTTTGCTTTATAGCCCCTTTCTTGGATGGCACAGTGAGACAGGCGCCAAGGCGTTTTGCATCCTCTTCCCTATACAGTAAAAACTACGAAGTTATACACAGACTTGAGCGATTAAAATTCTTTAAACACGTTTTCTTGAAAATTAGTATATGGAAAAGAAAAAAATCGAATCACAATCAAAAGATCAATATAGATGCTGTTTGTATAAAAAAATCTTTTTCTCACTACTAATTTTGGTGCAAAATTTCTTCACAAAATATAATAATTATATTGTCATTCATATTTCATCTAATACTCCCAAATATGAACTAAGCATATGCTTTTTAAAAGTGCAAAATTTGATTATTTAGTTGAAATGTACAATAAATTCTTACCCATTGAATTATTTAGTTTTAAAGGTATCCTTTAATGAGGGCCCACTGTAATTGCTATCCTGGTTCGACCTTCCGACATGTTGTGCATTTAAATCGCACTTGATCAGCGAGGCTTATGGCGTGGGTGTGTGGCAGGGTATGCACTTTGGCACATCAACTTTTTATGGACCTGCCGAGTAGGCATTTTATTTTTACGGCTGAATTAATTTATAGATTTAACCCCGCACACGCATAAATTGATTATGCATAGCCAGGGAACTAGGTGTCGAATTCAGTAAAAGGAGGGAGCCTAGGATCTCCCATGGGACTCTATAAATAGAGTGAAAGAGCAAAGGGTCGCCGGCAATTAGATGAACTTTCCTGTTATCGTATGAATTTATGCATTTCACATGAGGAGGAGTGTTTTGTGGCAGGTGATAATCCATTTCACAAAGCATAAACAATATGGCAGGTTGGTGGTACTTAGTGCGTGTGTCTCAGTCTGTCCGTTTATTTATTTTGTTCCTTCAAGTTGGCCATTGACGTCAGCAGTGTTATTCTCCTATCATAATGCGATTGAGACTAAATTTCAGCATTATTATACTTATTGGTTTCTTAATTAAACATTGACTTAAAGACTAAATTTCTTTTATTGTAAAAAGAATAAAGTTGCAACCTTATATTAATTAGTTCTCTTCCAATTGTGTACAGCACACTTGTATATAGGTAATAACACATGGATCCAAACTTAAATAACCCAAAAAATAACCCATACCGTAAAACGAGACGCACCCAACTTCCCCTTTGTATTAAGACCTTGAAGCTTATCTCGTGTGCAATAACCGCTATCCAAAGTGCTTAACTTTGACACTCGACAAAAGCCAAATTGACAGGTCGCTTCATACACGCGCAATCGACATAGACACAGTTGCACAGAAAATAAAACTCAAATAACTTTTTAATTAATTCAAATTTATTTCAAAGCGACATCATAAAAAGAGTGAATTTTTAAGCCAAAGGACCAAGAAATACAATTTTTTCCTCAAACTTTACGAAAGGACGTTCTATTGATACAAAATATTTTGTTTACAATACCCACTATTTCAAACCATTGAAACATGGGATCTTGGTGTTTATTTAAATAAACGACGTCCTAATGATGTATGTATAAGTATTTGGTATTTCTTTCCATAAACCTGTATTCAAATGGTATTTTTCTTTATGATCAAATTCCAAACTGATTATTTTTCGTAGTTATTTTTCTCTGTGTAACTCCTTGGACAGCGACTAGACTGAGCTGCAATTCCCCCGCTAACGTCATGAAATGACTCGTATACGTATGTGAATCATATCCCTTGCCCGATGTCCATGTCAAAGTCCACTTTTAACCCGTGAGATGTGGCTATTGTTGTTGCGGCTTCTCATGTATTTGCTTTTGTTGCTCTCTTGTCGAAAGCAATTTCATAAATGGCTTCCGTTTGAATGAAACACGCGCCACCAGTGAACTGTGGAAAAATATGTATGGCGGAGCGGGAAAAAAGAGGGGCTTAAGGTTTGGCCAGGCTTTTCATCCCGTGGCTGTCTGCCCTTCCTTCTGGTGATGGTTGTCTAGGAGTCCTCTGTTAATATATGTTCGTGCTAGATATGCCTGAAGGAGTCTTAATAAATACATAAAAACATGTGGGGCAATAGCATGGAAGGAGTTTTTATATCCTCTCCTGGAAGGGTAGTATAATTTTTAGGATATGGTTTTGAAAGTGAAATAGCGATAATAATTGAAAAGGTGACTATTATCGCTGAATGTCAACCCTCAATAAAAAAAAACTTTTAGTAGCTTTAAAAATATTTTGCAAGGCAAAAGAAATTGTCACTTTTAAAGTGTATTTCGAATTCCGGTGCGCTTTTAAATGTTCTAGATTCCTGTTTGTATGTTTTGTTTTTGTGTGCAAGTGCCATGTGTTATGCCGCCACATCAAAAAAGTGATAAACAGACTAACAGAGACATTTCCAAGGTCAGACGAGGGAGCTACAGCTTGGCTTCGTTATAAATATTTTTTGTAGGACCATAACGGGGTCAAACCATCATCATCAGTCACTGCCCGTTAGTCAGTTAACGGGAATTATTGGGTCTGGCCAAAGTCAACGAACCTTATCGAGTGACAAAGCATTTCGAATTGGTTAGCATACAACCAGGAAATAAAGGAGACCGATTGTGATGCTGACGCCTGGCCTTGATTAATGCTGAATGCACATTTAAAAGCTTTCTATACCGAGAGAAAAAAAAAGAAAAGCAATCCATGCTTAATTCAATTTGCATGTGCACGAGAGTCCGAGCGAGGAATTGTTTATAAATAAATTAACAAAGCCGTAACAAGCGGTGACCCTCGGACTTCCATCTAGAACAATGCCAACAGCGCCAGAGAAGCTGTATAAGAGGGGTAAAAATGTCTGTGTTGGTATTTCAGCTATAGACACAACTATGATTTTATCTCCAAAACTAAACCCCAACATTAAACCACTTAAATTTCAAATATAGCTTTATCTAATTTTTCTTAGCTGTCAAACTAGTTGAGAAAAAACAGATTTTTGTTTCGTTATGTATAACAACAAAATGAGTTGCTTCAAAAAATTATTCACCTAACAATTTGGAAAAAGTGTCTCATTTTTGAGAGTTTAGCTTATCAAATAACTTAAAATACTAAAAATTAATGATTTTATATTATTAGTTTATTAAAAAACCACAATGGAAATTACTTACTTTTCATTAATAATTGACATCACTGATGATAGGATAAGTGCAAGTGCAAAAACTGAGAGAGAGGAGGAAAAGCTGAATGCCATGGCAACCACACTCGATGGGTGCGATGGTCAAGAGGAGGGGAGGGATTAATTCTCTGTGGGTGTGTTCTTTAGGAGGTGTTCGCTAATGGCTGAGAACAAAGAACTGTTGCTGGGGCCATTAGTCAGCATCTCTCTCGCCGTCTTTCCTCACCTCCTCACCTCCCACATTTCCCCTGTACAAATATTTCCGCATTGTTCAGCTGCTGCACCAAACAGTTGATTAACGATCTCTTTCTCTCAAGCTTTCTGCACTTAAAAAAATCATGATATATAGCTGTTAAATTTGTATAGTTATAATAACAACTTTTCACAACGGATTTTTGATTTTAGGATTTGACAGTTTTTATTTGAAAATCGTGTGAATTAACAAATAAATAGTTGCTTTAATATCAGTGGGGATATTCAAGCGTATAACCAGTTTTTATTTTTTATGTGTATTTACCTTGTTATTTATCCCTGATATATTTCTTTTTATTGTATTTGGAATTGCACGGCAAAATGTCGTCAGGAACAAAAATCAATAAATAAGCGCGCTTACATCCCCGGAATTTTCTGTAAACTGACACAGTTCTTCTTTTTTTCTTAATTTCAGCATTTTTGCATTTCCCCAGTTTTTTTCCTTTTGCTTTCGTGTTTGCATTCAGAAATTTTGCATGCGACAGGCGAGAAAATTTGCATGCAATGAAACGACAATAAACATGAGCCCGGTTGTTTGTTCACGTATACATACTTGTATTAATATGTCTGAAAATCAGATTATATTAATTGTTTGGTTAACTTTTTGGCTTCTGTACATTTTCCCACGCTTTGTTATTGTTTGATATTTGTTCTACCCTAACATGACTTAATGTGTAAAATTTCTTGTTACCATTTTAATAAAAGCTCAATATCCTAGTTGAAAATCTAAAATCTTAGACAAGAAAACCACTATCCACTTTAATTGAATGATCTTGGAAAACAAGTCTCTTTCTTTGGTAAATTCAATTAAAAACCTTTCAATCTATATTCCAAAAAGAAACTTGAAAAGTGTATGCCACCTGATTTAACGACATTTTGCTGCTATCTATATTTGGATTTGCAAATAACATTGATTGAGATTGAGAGCCAGACCGAAGGCTATTATTAAATATCTGGGTGGGGTAGGTCAGTTATAGAATGGGGTAAAATAAAAAAGCGGGGGAAAGTAAGTCTTTGGTCATTTGTTGAGGGTGTTGCTTTTGCTTTGCAGATATCGATTTTCCTGGCGCCAGATAAGATTTATTTTTGTGAGTACTACTAAAACTTCAACCGCCGTAGTCAATTTGTCGCCCAATCTATACACATTGATGCATTAGGGTGGTTAGTTCTCTATCAATGGAAAATTGTTATAAAAAAAATATTAGTTTTTAAACTCTTACTAAAATTATATTCTTTTTTAACCTTTGAAAAGGCAAATTAAAGCTTATTATAATTTTTAAACCCATTAGTCGATTTTGACACTGTCTCTATTCGAGCATGCAAGTTTTCTTTTTGTATAGGAGGAGAGAACAACTTTATTTATTTATTTTACTCAATGTAACCGGCATGTAACTGCACCACATTGCAGACAAGTTTTTAAATGTATTTCAAGGGTCTGTCTGCGTTTAAGGATGGAAAAATATGTCAACATTGTTGACATTTATTTGGTTAAATAAATGGCGAAAGAGCTGAGGAAATTTGTGCTGCGAGCCCGATAACATTTCCTATTGCCATCAACGTGACATCTTTGAGCTTCTTTCCCTCCTACATTATTAGTGAAACTTGTTTGCTTTGGTCTTTTTTTTTTTGGAAAGGATTCCAGTGGCGCCTTTGTTTCGGCCTCGGTCCGTTCTTTTAGTGGCCCTGGCTGAAAGCAAAAGTGCAAAAAATGTTGTCTGAAAATACTTTTAGTTGGGTAAACAAGAGCTGCAGGAAGGAAATAGCTCATAGCTGGCCGGAAAAAGGAAAATATGGCGAGGGCTTGAAATAGTTCGAGCATTAATGAACTCTTAATGAGTCATTGGGTCAGTTTCAGGGAGTAGATACCCTTACTGCAGCCAGGGTCATTAATCAATCAATCATTCATAATTTGAAAGCTTACCAAGACTATTAAATAAGTTTGTAAGGCTAGACAATGTTGTAATTCGTTTTGGTAAAAGAAGAGAAACTTCCTTTGGCTGGGACATGAATAAAATATGAGATTTTAAGGAACCCAACTAGCATTAAAACTTATTCTTTATTATCTGATAAGACGTTTAGCTTATCAAAAAAGGTAAAAAATGCTTTTTGAATAGGGAAAGAACATAAAAATGGAGCTAATGTGTAATGGGTGTGAGTGGGCATTGTTTAATATACATTCTGATAAATGTACTCGCATAATTATATAAATTAATATAGCCAATGAAGGAGGCCAACAAACTATAACTAATTTCCAATTTTTTATGGTATTGATGGCTATTGATTTTGGCTTAACCTTATTCAAGTGTTATGCCTAAAAGTATAATAAATCCATTTGAAAAGGAATATGGAAGAAAGCAGGAAATATGGTCTTCACAATTAAACGATGATATCGGATGAAAAATAAAATGTAAAGAAATGTAAAATTTATAAAAAACCAATACATATTTTTTTCAAATCGTCCTGAATGTACTAAGTTATTCTCTGTCCTTTGATATTTGGCAACTTCCCGCGTGTTCTCTTTAACCAGTTTTATCTGATCTCCTGGCTTTCAGCTTACCTCACATTTATCTCTGCTTTTGTAATAATAATAGTCCCTAAACCCCACCCACGCTCATAAAAAAGTAACGCCCACATCTGTTGCCCTTGGACACCGAGTTCAGGTTTTGGCTTCAGTCCAGAGGCCCGTTGGTGACCCCAGAAATCCCCTTTGAGGGCTCGTGCACTGGGGTCAAAGCTAATTATGCGCAAGGCAAACAATTTGGCGACACCATGGTCAACACCTCGGACATCTCGATGGAATGGTAAAAGTGGGGTAGTGGGTGTTTCCTTGGCATCCAAAGCTTTAAGGAAAGAAATAAGTCGAGGATGTCCTTCTCCAGAGGCTGTGTAAACTTTTACCATAAAACTTGGCCGTTTCGAGTCCTTTTTGCACACAAACAAAAATATGAAATGAACCCTATTCTACTTGTCTTAGGATTTCTATAAACATTTTATCAGGGACAAGCACTAATGAAAAAAGGAATTAAATCCAAAGTCCAAATTTAAAGTTATAAATATTATTTGAAAATTTTAGGCCTGGATTTTTTTATGCATTTTTACGCCTCAGAATAAATTAAAATATTTGTAGGCGATCTTCCGCCCCCAAATTAAAAGTAGGAAAATAACCACTTTATTTTTGTAAAAGATGATGTCACAGATAAAATGTTGGTCCTTTTACAACAATATTTCCCCCATTTGTAGGCTGATTCAACAGTCCGTTAAGACGTCTCTCTAACTGCGTTCTAGCTGCGACGAAATAAGTTTCCTGTCGTTCCTTATTCAGAAGCCGCCTTAATGGGCCGTTTTGTTTTCGTTGAGGCGGCTAGTATTTAACATATTTCGTTGGTGGTCTTGTTATTCACTTGAAAAAGTTTGCCAAGGATGTGTGTTTGTGCTTATGACTGCTAGACATGGTAAAGTATCTCCGGTTATTGTTGTGGTGAGGTTTACAAATGCGGGCGCTAGTTCAAGGTCACATAATTGTGTTGGGCAGGGTCTACTAAAATATGAAAATTGCTTGGAGGGAATCAAATTCCAAGTAATGGCATCCTTAACATGCACAAGTATGTTAATTTTATAAGCTTGCCTCAAGCAAATGTTAATGTCGGCATTTTTTCTTTAACAATACACATGCCATCTGCTAGTGGGTAAATCTTAAAAACCTTAAATTTTTATTATTACGAGCGGGTCTCACTTAAATTTACTTTTTCAGCTTAACGCTGCGCTTTTACTTTTATGGGCTATTATTCGCACAACAATGTCTGTTAGGCACAATAGAGAGTGTACTTTCGCATATCGATACGTAAATCAATCATTGAGTTTATTACGGCACCTAAACTTACATTATTAGTTGGCCTTTTAAAACAAATGGTTTTCATTCAATTAGTCATATTTTTGTAATTTTTCTTATTTAATTAAAACCTAATAAAAGCTTTCAAAGTCTTTCTATCTTAAAATATTCCTTTTTTATGTATTTACAGCACCAATTTAAACACCCACATTGCACCAGAAACAATTTAAAGAACAAGACTGAACAACCACGCCCACACAATATTTGTAAACTAGTAAATCAAAAGCCACCGCTCAAAAGAACTCGAAGATACCAAATCAAAATTCACTTGTTGAAGAGAGACCAAGCCAATCCAAGACAAGATGTCGTCGCGTTCCAAGGAGAGAGTTGTCACTGCATTCCGCAAAATCTTCCACAAGTCCAGCAATAATAACAACAACCATAATAATAACATAAATAATAACAACAATGACAAGAGTGATGGCGCCACTGGCAGCAGTCCGAACATAAACAATAATAACAATCACGATGGGGCTGCTCCCTCATCAGCAGGAGGCGGGGCAATGGGCGGTGGAGCAGTAGGCGGCGGATCATCGGGATCATCTGGTGCCACCAAAAACGCCGTAGTCCGTATGGCAGCCGAGCAGGCTGTTTGGGACTCTCCAGGCAAGCGGCGACGACAAGATCACAAGTAGCTATAAAAAATTGTTAAATCTCCGTACAAAAACACCCCATAATCTGTGTGGGGAGCTAACCCCAGAATTCGCAATCCTACTTACAGAGTGGCGCCGACGACGGGACGCCAACTGGTGGCGGCGCCGGATCAGACGATTCGATCCCGCCGCCTCATGAAGGAATACCGCGAAATGGAGCGACTGCAGTCCAAGCACGGTGCTGTCTTCACTGTAAGTCCTGGGTGTGAAGCAGATTGCAAAGATGGCTACAGATGTTCAGATCTGAATGCAACCGCTGCACTGTTTACAATGAGCTTATAACTTACATCTCATTTCACAGGTGGAACTTGTCAACGACAGTCTGTTCGAGTGGCACGTACGCCTGCACGTGATCGATCCCGACTCACCTCTGGCCAAGGACATGGTCGAAATGGGTGTGCCGGCCATCCTGCTGCACCTGAGTTTCCCCGACAACTTTCCCTTCGCCCCGCCGTTCATGCGCGTGGTGGAGCCGCGTATCGAGAAGGGCTACGTGATGGAGGGCGGAGCCATCTGTATGGAACTTCTAACGCCACGCGGATGGGCCAGTGCCTATACGGTAGAGGCGGTCATCATGCAGTTCGCCGCCAGCGTAGTTAAGGGTCAGGGCAGGATCACGCGAAAGCCAAAGAGTACAAAAGAGTTCACTCGGTAAGAGATTGGATTTCTACTTGTTTTTAATTGAAATTAACTATTTATATTCTTCTATAGTCGCCAAGCCGAGGAATCGTTCCGTTCGCTGGTTAAGACACACGAAAAGTACGGATGGGTAACGCCCGCCTTGTCCGATGGTTAAGTGCGGTTTCCGAACCGCAAGAAAACTCAGCTCAGATGCTCTGCGTTTGCCAACACCCAACCAATGCAAATCAATATTCAGCCCCCCAAAAAAAGTCTCGCTCATAATATTCCATCAAGCCATCGATACATCTTTCTTCTCTCGATGCGTTTCATCTACTTTGTCAAGTAACAAACGATTTCAATTGCAAACCATCCATAAAGCAACCGGAGGAACTCTTGGAACACACAAAAAAAAAAAAAAGGAAACGCGCATCAAGCAACAAAATAGCTTAAAATGTAACTCTAGCTCGTAGTCATCAGTAAAAAGGAATATTCGCCGAATACAAAATGGATATTTAAGTATTATTAGTTGAGCAAAGAAGAAAAGCGAAGAACGGATGAGCAGCCATTTTCCAAAACATTTTCAATCGCATAGCGCTATACAATAAGTTACGTATCGTTTACAGAATCAATTAGTCTGATATCTTTGTTCGACTGTGTTATTATAATTTGTTGTGATTTTTGTTAAAGTTAAACAATGAAGAAACCAAATTACAACAGCAGCTTGTGAACACTAATGTGTTCCACATAAATTCGACTTTCTCTTTAAGTTACGCATAATAAATAAATACAACATGTGTCTATAATCGCATTATTAATGAAGGTATCCGACAAATTAGCCTAAAATTTATTTAATTACATTATTTTCTTTTATTCATTTGCAGAGATGTTTCGAATGCTGAGAAGAACACATCTAAAAACTATATATATATATATACATTTTCATTCTTAATCTGGCCTCCTTTCTTATTTTTAACATTTAAAATTGGTTTAATTGAATTTGTTTTAAAATAGCGATACAATTTTTTTCCTTTTTTTATTATCAGAATAAATAAGTTTTATTTTATAAAAATACACAAAACATTTCGAAAAATATTCATCAGTGGAAGTCTGAGTTACGTAAATTATATTAATTTAATTGTTTTTTCCAAAGCAATTATAAAGTTAATTTGATAAAAAGTTTGAATGCGTAAAAGCAACTTCCATTTCGCTGTAGCAGCGAGTAAATTTAAATTACGCGCGCCCAGTGTTGGACAGGGATTACACACAGAGATGCATGACATATGCCCCATGAGGCAAATAAATGCCGCGGGCCATTTATCAGCTGATTGCATACAAACTTGGTTGCATACTTAATAGAAAAACATCAAGTGGCACTATATTAAAATAGTATTAATAATAAATTTATTTAACTAACTACTAAGCCTGCAAAAACACAATTTTCATATATACTTTAAGCCATGCTCGGTATGTCATGCCGATTGTTCGTGTATGTGGTCACTCGTATTTGGTCGCCTGCCAACACTATAAAAAAACTAAACGGGTAGCTGAAAATTACAATCACAGGACTCAATTTTGTAAGTATTTTAAGGCAATTGCACGTGTTTTGTGGACATTTAAGGTAGTGCCAAGTGTTATTCACGATTTGGGGATGCTAAATCAGCAGTTATTTGAAAGGGCTAATGGGGTTTAAGGCGTGAAAAATGGCTGCAAAAAGTTGATTCGCTGGGCACGCAGTTTGTAGGTGAAAAAAATAGACAGTCTCTCTGCCCGCGGCAGCAGAGACGCCAGCAGCGCTGCCGCTGCGCCCCGAAGTCCTGCGGAAAATCGGGAAGTTCTCTGCCACCTTGGGCCGTCGGAAAATGGTATATAAATTCGTACTGGATGGTTATCTTGGGTCACCGGAGCCCTTGCACACCGATCGTTCTCCTAGGAACTAAAGGATATAGTAGTTCATTTTTAGATTCTATCTTTGCAGTATCCTTAAAACCCCTTTTAAAAGGCAACCCAAATCGTTTGATTTATTTATCTTTTAAATCAACAAAGTTGTGGCATTTTGGCATTATCGTTCCAATGGCAGCTTATCTTAGGGCTGCAAGTTTTAATCAAACCCAAAAGATCTTTTAACATAATACTAATAAAACCGTCATGGAACACTTAAATTTGTTTGACACTCATACAAAACAAAATTAACTGAAATGTAAATTCATTATTACAAATAAGAAGTCCCAAAAATGTAATTTTTATTGTATAAAGTTAAATGTAAAGTAATCACAAATTAAAACTATGTTTAAATAATTTATTTCAAGGTTAATAAATGGTAATCTGCCTAGATTACAAACAGCTGAAAATAACAAAGAGGACCCAATTGTAATAAAATTACCTATTAAAGCTATGTTTGATTTACCTCGTGGTTTCTTTTTAAAATATTAATTATAATATACTTATTTCGTCATTTACAACAAGTTTGAAACTGAGATTCATAGTTCGAGAACTAATATTTCAACCAATATACTTAAAATTATTTATAAACTGTCATCTAAGTTCTGATACTGATAGAATAGAAAAGAGCAAAGACACCAAAGTGCAGATGCACAACGAAAACACTTGTAATTGCATTACAGCTGCCTCCTAATTTAGCCATACCCTCTGCAAGGGTATAAAAATAACCCTAGACTCTAAAAGTAAACACTTGCTATTTTTAGATAGACGGCAATGGAATCGGAGACGAAAGCCAGCGGCGAGGAGAAGCAGCAGGAAAACCCCTCGGCGGTGCCCATGGACACTCTGGACCCGCCACCACCGAGTGGTAGCTCCAAGACCCTAAAACGCTGTCTAAGTGTACCTATCATCCGGACTCCGCCTTCCGGAAAATCGGGAAAGACCCCGATGACCACACGCGCAGCCGCAGCGGCTGCTCTGGCGGCCAAGGAGCACGAGCAGACGCCCAAGAAAAGCCAACAGGTGCTGGACATCCAGATGTCGAATGTCTCATCCATCGATTGCTTCGGCAAGAACATACACATACGGTCCCAGCCCAATTCGAGGGAGGTTTCCCCGGCTCCCGTCTTCAATATATTCACTCCTCGAGCCAGGAGGTATTCGGCTAGCTACAGCCCACTGACCACGGCAGCCAATGGAGCAACCCTTTGCCTCACTCCCCGGGTTTCCCAGCTCAGGCAAGAGGAATGCGCGGACCTAAACAGTCGGGAGGTGAATCACGAGCGCGAAGTTCATCGGGAAATACAAATCTCCCAGAGCTGGGAGGACCTCACGCTGGTGACCGAGAACTGGTCCTGCAAATCGGACGAGTTCTCCAATCCCCTGCAGGTCAGCCTGCCACCCACGGGCAGTACCGGTTGCTCCAGTCCCAGTCCCACGAACAATCGGGCGGGCATGAGATTACCCTACTCCCCGTCGCCCACGAGGCGCACTTTTGCCACCAGGAGATCGATGTCTCCCATTGCCATGAGACCATCTCAACTGGGACCCGTGAAGAGGAAGTTTGAGCTGGACGATAATCCCATGCAGGGCAGCAACTGGAGTGTATACTCTCCTCCGCCAATGAAAAAGATATTCACAGAAAGGTAAGACACAATAAAGTCCTTAAAGTCATTGATTGAAAGATCTACAAAATTTTCCTCCTTTAAATCACATACTATTTAAAAATCAAAATAAAGTAAAGTAGTAATGCTTAAATATTTACTTAGTAAAGATTTTTTTGCTTAAAGTCTAGAATCTTTCTTAAAAGCTAGACGTATATTACTTTGGTTTGACATTATTTTCTAATTGTGTAGGAGCCTAAAAAATTTTCATTAGGCTAAAAATAAATGCTATAAAGTTTTGTTGTACGAAGAGCTCTAATTAAAATTGTATTAGAAAAGCAAAAGTGCATGTACAAGCAAATGTGCTACTTGTTGAATATTTGAACAATAATAAAATGAATAATGTATGGGGCTATAAAATCTCACATCTAAGAATTTCTAAAAATACTTTACTTAACACATTTTCTCTGACATTTGAATAACTGCACCTTTTCTCAAAAATTTCGTCCCAAATTCTAAAAAAAAGTTTGATTTCTGTACTTAAGTTAATATTCCTCCTTCTGTCTTTGAAGCCGCGGCTCTTCCCCGGTGTGCCAATCGCCCTCGTCGGTGTGTCCCAGTCCTGATTCCGGAACCTTTGATGGCCGGATAACACCCAAGTTGTTCATCTCGAAGCTGTGCACAAATAATACGGTGAGCGGAGGTGGTCTGAATAACAACAGCAGCAGCTCAGGCTGTCCGTCGCCCGTTTCCGCTTCGCCTGGAGGAGTGGGCAGTGGCCCTAATCTGGAGGCTGCCATGTGCCTCGTTTCCGGCGGAAGCCAGAGCCAAAGCATCGACGAGGGCATCTCGATACCCGAATCGGAGACGCTCTCCTCCTGCCGCAGTCGCACCTCCTCCATACTGTCCACCGCATCCTCCAGCACTCAGGTGCTGGTCAACGATCTGGTTGACGATGCCACTCTAATGGACGATGCCAAAAGCGAGACTTCCTCTATCGGTGGTTGCTCCACCATCAGCATAGAGTCGTCCTCCTGCGATAGTGGTGCCAAAACCGCTGCCACTTTCCTCAATCGTTTGGTGGTGGATTCGGATGGCGGGGGTTCCCCGCTGGCCCAAAAGAGCTTCTATATCAACAAGCAGGGATTGTCAGGCGCCAAGAAGTTCGTTGTCAATCACGAAAGGACGGGAGCCTCCAGCAAGGATGTGCCGCAAAAGCTTTAAGTAGCATACGCAGTTTAGCTTAGCTTAGGGGTCGATTTTAGGAATGCTTAAACAATGGAATAATCTCAGGCGCCAAGAATTAATCTTTGGTTACTTTTATGTAATTTGCTTTGAAAACTATAGGAATTACATTAACTTATTAAACGTTTACATAAAAAAACGAAAGAAAATAGCCATGCCTGTTGTCTTCCAAGAAACTTAAGTTGTAAAGTGTCAAAAATGGTACTAGATTTAAAAGCAACATTAAAAAGATAAACTATAAATGTTGGGTTGAGATAAAAGCAATAATCGAAAAATAACTTTAAAGAAACATTTAAAATCAAAAATATAGTATAAAATTAAAATGTAATGTGTCCTATAGTATTCAAAGCTTAGTTTCTTTAAATATTCCAAAGATCAAGAAGCGGTACTATGATTTTTGTAACAAAAAATCGACCCAAAATACCCAATCACATGCAAGCTTTAGTTGGGGGTTCTCATTGATCCCCTGACTTGCTAAATATTAGTCCGTAGCTTTGTTGTACATAGTTAAGTTGTTTGTCTAAAGTTCCAAACCATCTTGCATATCATCTATCAAAAAACACACTCACACTCCCTTTCATCCCTAGCAAACATTTGTTTTTAATGTGTTAGCCTAAGGTTTGTCATATATAGCCAGAGTTTTTTATCCGATCCTTGTGTTATGATATGTTCTTCATTTCCAATGTTTCGATTTATTAATCCTTTTTTAATCTAAGTAAAAGTTAATACGCCCATATAATAATGGTTACTTTAGTTTCGTTAGTAGTTGCCGCCTCACCCTAGATTTTAGCTACCAAAAACCCAATTTTGCCAAATATGTTTCCTCTATGTATGTAATCCCGCATTATATTGCCTATAATGTGATCCAATTTAATCGAGGTGATATCTGCACGTATCCCTGAAAACCAACTGATTGATACATACACGCATATATTATATAGATTTACGATTCGATTATAATTATCGTAAGCGAATTTACGTAGTTTCAGGAAAGTTATACTTAGAAACGATCCAAAACGAAAGAATTGCCTATTAAACATTTTTTCAATAGATCACAATTGTTTGCTTTTACTTTTCGATGACCAGGGGGGTTTCTAATTTATTTTCTATGTATGGTTTGGGAGTGAAATTGACGACTTTATGAAATAACCACAACTTCAAAACAGGAGAAAGTGGGTTAAAAAGGAATTTGGTAGAGCCATGTGATTTTATGATCATACTTTCGCTTTACGGATCCTTTATTTATTTATTTTAAAATTAATATTTTATTTATAAAGGTTGTTTAAATTTAACGTGTAGATACAGAAAAAAAGACAATTACCATTATGAAAAACCCCATGGTGAATAATAATATCACCGAGCACGATATTCGTGCAACCACATATAAGCCTTATATGTAAAACACCTGCATATACGAGTGTGTATCCATATATGCATACACAGGCACTGAAAAGTTCGAACACCTGGGGACTGAGATGCCGAGCATTGCTCCCCATTTGCGAACACCGAGATACTGGTTCCCCACATATAGAGGATATAATGTGCATGGGTAGATACTCGAACCTTGTCCACGGACGCCAGTCCCACAGGCCAACATTGGGGTCCAAAAGCCAGAGACCGAGACCGATAAACCGATTCCACACGGACCAAGTCGAGTGGGCGTTCGTTCTGTTCACTTCATGCGGCTGGACGTGTGTGTGGATCCGATATAAACGAGTTTATAGCGAAGAAAATAAGTAAGCGGTGCAGTCACGATCGCCAATATTCCGAGACCGAGGCACCAAAGGGGAGCCTAGCCAAGCATTCAAAGCGGATCTGGGGATCTGACTTGTTGGCACACGGGCAGAACTCAGCTGCCCACGCCAGTGGCATACAAATTAGAAGAAAACACGCTATCCTAGACTCCCCAAGTGACACTTAAAGTCCAGGGTTTATTATTTGGATGCTAATTAGCTCTGAAAATTTAAATCTATTGCGAGTTATACATGAGGAAGAACAATATATAGTGGCCAAATTAGCTTTTTATCTAGTTTTTGTTGAATAAAATTTTTTGTTGAAATGGAGTTTTTTCTAATTATAAAATAATACAAAATATTTTACAGATCACGAAGAAGGATCTGTTATCACAGTTTATGAGGTTACGCATATGTATAATCGCTAAAAAAATAAACTTGTCCATTTTCAAATTGAAATTAAGTCTACCGGAGTAATAGTTGTTTAAAACTTCTAGTCGGAGCGAATCCTTCAAAAATTAGAGTAAGTAATATACATTTTACAGTGCAGACAAAAGTAAAACGAAGAATCAAACTGGAAAACTTTTTATCTATCATCAATTTTTTTACTACTTCATAAAAATAAAGATACAAATCCAGCGATCAAATCACTTAAAAAAAGCTCATCCTGAAATAGTTCACAAGCCAACAATTAAACCAATTACTGAAAAATGTGAAGATATGTATATAAAAGAAGGAAACCAACAACGAAGCTAGATATACCCTATGTATGTACACATGTACATAAGAAGAAAAGCAACTGCGAATAAAAAAATGAAGGCGCACGGTTTTACTTTAACGCTGCTGCTCGGACGTCAATAAAATTTTTTTTTTTGGCGTTAACGCTGACGTTACCGTCGCTGCCCTCAGTTGTTGTTGTTGTTGCTTTTACGCTTTGGTCACGCTGCTCCCTTTTTCGATGCTCCTCTTTTCCCCGCACACCCCACCCCGCTCTCTCCACGCTTCCATACTCCCACTCGCCCACTCTCCTCCATCCACCTCTCTCCAGCTCTCTGGTCGCCTCTCTTGGAGGGCGTAGTCGGGCTTATGAAAAAGGGGAGCACCTTCCCCCTTGTATCAATAGAAACTAATGAATGAATAAGTTTTCAGAAAATTAAAAACGCTTAATGTTAGGGGAGGGTCTTTGGGTTTTTTATTTTTGATATTTTAGCTAAGTTATAGAAACCAAAAATTTCATATTTCTTTCACCAATGTGACTTACAGAATTACAAGCCGTTGGATATTGTAAAAGAATCAATAGCATGTGTATAATAAGTCGTTTTGAAAAAAGTCAAATTAATCTTTAGTGGTGAAAAATTATAGTAGACTATCTGACTCGAGCCTAAGTTGTAACTTGTTTTTCAAAATTTAAATTCCCAAAAAAGGGAAAACCTACATTTAACAAAAAGATATTATATGGAAATGTTGGGAATAAATTGATTGCCCAAATAAGAAACCATCTCAGACTCCTCTATTTAAATTAATTAAAATTATCAAAATATTTTTTTGTGGATCGAATGTTCACTTCAATTCTAGTCCTGTCTTCCTTTTTCCCCAGTCATTTCCTGGCTACGCCTTTGCCTGTCTGAGCAATCTTGAAAATCGTGAGCTGTTGTCGTTGTTGCTGCTTCGCCTGTTGCTCTGCCTGTAATTGTTTTTGTTTCAGCCTTTGTTGTTGGGGCATTTTCTTTGTTTTTCGTATTTCGCGTGGCCCGAAGAAAAATCAAGTTAACACGCAAAAGGGGGAGGGGAGTTAAGGCTCACGTTCGTGTACCGAAAAAAAGCCTTAAGCGCCGCTCATGTTGTTGTTGCTCTGCTCGCTTCGCTGATTCACAGAGCGGGCAGCGATGCCGCAGCGCAGTCAGCGTCGACGTCGACCGAAGCTCGACTTTTGCGGCGGTTTGTTGTTTTTGTCGAGAGGTTGCTGCTCGGCAAGCCGCAAATCGCGAATCGCGAATCCAGTTTCTTCTTCACTTCTTCGCACGGCAGACGCAGCTTGAATCGCCATCGCCGAGCACAGAAATTGCGGATAAAAACGAAGAAAAGGAGTGCGCTTTTGCAGAGAGAGGAGAGGAGATTGCAGATTGCAGAAGAATTCATTGGATCCGGAATCTCCTGACTGATCATATGGTTCGTATACAATGGGAGCTTTAAACTTACCAGGATTATAAAGAGATTATCAGTTATCTGACTGACAACAGCTATATAAACTACTAACACATTGTTAAGATGTAGTACAGATTTAAATAAAAACAATAAGCCAGATATTACCATTCGAAATGTAGTAAGTTGCTCAGTATATTAAAAGATTATTATTAGAGTTACATATGAGTTGTTCTATTGAAAAAGATTAATTCTACAATAAATCTAAGAACTAATAAATCATTACAGATATATATATAACATATTTAAAGTCCTACAATAATTCCAAATCTTAATAATCTTTTAATCCTTGTATAAGGAGAATATTCTAGATTTAAGGATAATTCCTTGTTAACTACTGAACTACTGAATCAATTATTTCATTTAAGAAGTTATACCATTTGAAAAGATAGTTCAAAGTTGTATTACGATATTTCAATTTCTTTTTATATTTGGTAACTTGGGACTTGGCAGATTTTAAGAGAATTTGTTGGACCGGAAAAACAAATTATTAAACTTTCTTATAGACCTAATGGAGCTGGCTCTTAATAAGACATCGTCCTGCGTGGACTGTTGCAATGATTGTACTCTTATGTCCTGCTGCTCTGCCGCTGCCTGCTGCGACGCCAGCTGCGAAGCCAGCTGCGCATTAATTCAACCCGATCCTGTCAGATATGAATACGAAGAACCTGAAGAGAATTTCGTCTCCATAGATGATGTTAAAATTAAGGGATTTCTTTGGAGAATCGGTCAGCAACAGCAAGAAAAGGAGTTGGAAATAAAGAGAATAAAGGATCAAGAGAAAAAGGAGAAGGAAAGGAGGGAAGCAGAGGTGCGAAAATACCAAAAAGTAATCGAATTGGATGACGAGGAGGTCCAACCAGCTAAGGGTTTGATTATCAGCGCAGCCAGGAGTCTAGCACATTGGAATTCATCCATAAAAAGGATATCCCCAGATTTTGAACTTATTCCCAGGCAAGGGCACAGGATTGTAGCAGAAATCGAACTAAGCGATAGTGATCAGGATCCAATTAGCGAAGCAGAGGAAGAGGTTAATCTCCCATCAAATACTGTTCGTTGTGTCTTGAACGAGCAGAAGCAGAAGGAAAGCCAGGTTCCGAGTCCCCAGGAGCAGGTCATCATCGTGCACTCCGACCAAGAAGAGGAGCAAGAGCCAGAAGCAGTGATCAGGAAGAAACCTTCAACCTCGAGGAGATCAGCGAAGAAACGTCCATATGTTAACAGAAGAGGACGTCATCTGTTCGAGTGTCCTGATTGTGGGAAAAAAGTGCAATCTAACTACAATCTAAGACGACATATGATGATACATACAGGTAATCAATATGCAGTATGCACGCCTAATTAAATATATTAACTGATCTATTTTAATATTTTTTTCAGGGGAGCGACCTTTCCCATGCGACCTATGCGAGCGTCGTTTTCGGGAGTTTAGTGATCTGAAAAAGCACCGCCGAAGGCACTCACATGATCCCCGATTCATCTGCATGATCTGTCACTTGGGGCAACCTTTGGAGCAGGACTCCACTAGGTGTGTGGACTGTGAGAGCAAGAATCTTATGGTTAAGCCCCAGCCAGAGGAGTTGGGCGACAGAACGGTGGAGGACCATCCAGAGGAAATGGAAGAAGACGAGGAGGAAGTTGAAGAAGAGGACGAGCCAGAAGAAGAGATGCAGCCACAGCCAAAAGTACCACCAACTTTGCTGGTTACTTTAATACCACCTATTCAATCTCCACCAGAAAAGGTTCCTCATGCCACGCAGCCAAGTCGTCCCCCACTTCCTCGGAGTTGCAGTAGCGCCAACTCCTCATCTTCTTTGAGCAATGATGGAAATATATCGGGAAAGCCAGTAAATCGCAGTCGGAGATCTTATCCCTGCCCTTTATGTCATCGTCCATTCGGAACTCGGCACAATCTTAAACGCCACTATATGATCCACACTGGAGAAAAGCCTTTCAGCTGCTCCAAGTGCAGAAAACCATTTAGGGAGTGTTCCACTCTCAAAAAACACATGGTCACTCATGTCAGAGATCGCTGGTATAAGTGTCTTAGATGTCCCTCGAAATTCAGAGACTATCTGGAGTATGCTGATCACAAAACCAGTCATCTGGATCAATTGAGGACTCCTTCTTCCACATACGAAAGTGAAGATGATGGTGATAGTTCTATAGAAGACTGCCTAGAATGCTGCGAATGTCATCAGAGATTTACGGAATTGGATGCTTATACCGCACATCTCAAGCAGCACGACTTGGAGTTGTACGGGATGAGTGTGGATGATGTAGTGGACGAGGAGCAAGACGAAGTGGATGTTGCATAGTTAAAGGGAACTTTTATTTTAATATACTTAATAATCTATAAATATTTTTTAAATGTTTTTAAAACTCATCTATTGAGAATCATAAAATCTCAATCAACATCAATAATAATAATAGGATTATACATCTTAGATCAGAGTCAAAATCTAAATAAGGCTTTAAGCCATTAAGCATCCTAAAAACATTCCCCTTCTTAAACAGTAATCACATGGAGGAATTTATCTCACTATATAAGATGTTTCCAGCAACAATTAGTTCTATTTAAAAAATAATTCAGCATTTTTGCTGCATTTAAGATAAGCCTTATTGAAAAATCAACCCTGATCAACTGAAAGCAAAGATTTAATAGTTTCAATTCCCTTTAAAAATGGATATTGAATGAAGAGCCATAGTCCAACATGTAAATGTTATAAAAACTTACTGAACTAAGCGAGCGATAAGCTCTCAATTAAAGGGCCTTATCAATTGTATTTATTTATAAATATTATGATATATACTTTATTACAAAAATAAAAGTATTAAGTGCACAAGAGTCGGTGAAATATACAAAAGCAACTCATCGTAATCGAAAAAACTGCTTGGGTGTCCAACAATTAGAGATTGAGCTAAAATCGATTTTTTTAAACGTTATCTAAAAAAATAATTAAGAAGGAGTAAGCGTAAGAAAAATGACTAAGATTGGGGCGCTTGGAGCGGGAGAATCCACAGTAACGATCCTTAGATGTCCAGCAGTACAGGTTTAGTTTCCTTGGCGCATTTGAACACTGATCGCATCATTTTCAGGAACCCAGTATCTTTTGGTTTTTCCAATCCACGCTGCACACGATTCTTCATCACCGAGATAAACTCCTTGTTGCTGAGTTGGTTATCATCTATAGGGGGTTTTGGAAAATGTGTCATATTACAATTTAAATTTTAAAATCATTGTAAACTCCCATAAACAACCCAACTTACTGTTCTCATCAAAGATGGTAAAAACGACATCTACCACATGATCGGAAAGATTGACCATGGCCACCGTTTTGGCCACATGCTGCAGTGTTTGCTGATCAATCGAAGCACCGGCAATGTGATAGAAAGTCAGGGCAGTATCCACGTCGTTGATGTTGTTTAGAAAGTGAAAGAAATCCAGATAATCCTGTTTGGAGATGCCCTTGCCATGGTCCCTAAACCTCCTCTTCACTCTCTTTAATTTCTTTTGCTTCTTTTTCAAAGGATATCCAGCGTAGGCCAGAAGAAGTTCAGCGAAATCTGCTTCTGTTATATTGCCTTCTTCATTGGGTTCTTTCCTCTCAAATTCAAGGGAAAGGATCTCCTTTTGCAGTTGCTCCTGGAAATCCAGAAACTTTTCAATAGTCAGCTTTTCATCCATATTGGGGCCAAAGAAATATGTGATTAAAGCCGAATTTACACCCTGGAGAAAGGAGGCAAAATTAGATAATTAACATTTTATATTGATTTTAATTTATACATAAAAAGGTTTAACTTGGGTGCATGGGAGCAGGTGCATTGGTGGATTTTCTACGGTAGACAAAATGTGACTTAGTTTTTGTTGAGTACGATTGTGTTTTAATGTTTCAAAATAATTTCGAAAGGGCAAAATAAGTTAATAAGCATTATCACACAAAGTACCTTCAAGGACTGTAAGTACGTCAAAAACAGAGGGAAGTTAAGATTTGATATGTACACAGTTTAGACAGCGTTCAATATATAGGGTCAAAGCCAAAAGACAGAGAATATACAAATATACAAAAAGGAAACGATTTTAGTACGGCTCGAGGTACTCTCTTTTTGATGTTTTTCTAGGAAATCTAAGGTTTATTACCTTAAAGGTGTTTCCTGTATTGGCGTGATCCCGATGTCGGGTTCCCATGCTGGTTTGCTGTCTCACCAAAGTGGCCACCATTTCGAATTCCTCGCAGTCCACATCGCCGTCTCCGTTTAAATCAAACATGCGGAAGGCAATCTCAAAGTGACGACGGGAAACTATAAAGAGAAACATGATAATTTGGCCATATTTATAGGCATTATCTTATTTCTTACTTGAGAGCACTGTGAGCAGGAAAATATAATCGGAGAAGGTGATCAGTCCATAGGAGCCCAGTTTATAAAAAATGCTGTTCTTCTCAAGGTGCAGATTTAACTGGTCGCCAACAGACTGAAAAAGAGAACGGTAATATATATATTATAATTATTATAGTTTAATATTTTCATTAGCTTTTTATATTTCAGCTATAGCTTTATATATAAAAAGAATCCATATCTTAAACTTACTTTGGGATCATAGCGACGATATTGGTCCAGACCCAAGCCTAAAATAGATAACCATTATTGCAAGACAAGAATTTTCCTTTAAAGTTTAAGTATAAATAAGGACTTTCTATAGCTTTTCCCTATGCTGTTTTCTGACACATACCATCTGGTTGCTTCATGCCTGGCGTCATGCTGGTTAAAAAATCGGTCGGAGTCATGTAGACTTCATGCCGATCGTCGGCCACGGGCACCTGGATGGTGGCAAAGTAGCGAAACACTTTATCCGGCGTGGAGAACTGTCGGATACGGTTCTCGTACTCAATTATCTAAGGCAAACGACATGACTTTAGCTCACGAAAAAGGCAGGGAATATGAAAACCAAAATAAATTCCACTAAACTGAGGCTCAGAAAAATTTTAACGAAATCTAAAGCTAAATCAAATGACTTCAAAAACTTAATATAAATCATCATAAGCTTCTGGATGAGTGAATTACCATCTGGCTGTTTGATTCCAGGATATATGGAGCGAAGGAAATCCTCGGGAGTCATACACACAATCGTTTGAGTAGCATCCTGTAATCGCACGGTGGCAAAGTACCGAAAAATCTTGTCCGGAGTGGAGAATTGCCGTATACGGTTCTCATACTCAATGATCTTCGCGTGTGTGTTGTGTTTTTGTGTTTGATGGAGGGTAAAAAACAAGACGGCACAAACATAAAAGTAAAAGAAACAAAGATTTTTGCGAACGTAATATAAGAAATTTAGAAATATATTATAATAATAATTTTTAGGGGATTGATCCGGATTTCACAACTTTAGACAATTTTTCAATTGATTTAAGTTCATCGGCACTATGTTACTAATCTGATTAAGTTAAATGTACAATTTTTATAATTTAAAAATGTTTAACAATATGAATAATGTTCGTCAAGATTATAAATATTTGCTACACATTTTTTCATGATGCAACAATATTGAATTTTCTTTTCAGAAGTCCAAAATATAGATATATTAAAAATAATAGGATAGCGAACAAAATTATAAAGGCCGTGAAAATCGGATTTGAATCAAAATATACAGGACGTTTTACAAAATTATAGGAAGCAGATTTATATAGCGTCGTCAAGCTAATACCTTTCTCTCGCGGAAACCGACTTTCTCGCGGATCTTCTTTCCCTCGTGCAGGTGCAAATCCGAGCCTCCTTCCTCATCCTCGCCATCTTCTGATTCGGAATCGGATGACTTATCCTCGCCTTTAACGCCGGCCGCTGAAGAGGGACGTTGTCCAGCATCTGCGTCCACTTTTGGCATCAGTAGACGCTTTACTCTAAAAATAGATTCCATAATCGTAAATATATTGCGGACTTTGCAAAAATACTTTCTTGGTTAGTTTATACTCACTTGCCCCAATCCAATACAGAAATTAAGAACAAGCTTAGGATAAACATGTGGAAGTACTTTGTCACATTAGGCGTCTTTTCCTGCTGATGGCCAAAACGTTTATGACCTCTGATTTGAATTAGACTTAAATTGGCACTCGATTTGGTAAGATCCTGAACAAATTGATTGCTATTTTGGTTGCACAAAGTGGAGGCCAATGCGATTTGGGCTTGATTTTGGAGTATGTTGAAGCTCCTTGGTTTCGATAAAGCAGCCAACGCCTGGCGCGTCATCAGAAATCGCATCACAGACATGATTGTTATTCTGTTTATATTGTTTTTATCTTTTAAATATATCTAGTCGATTTTATGCGCATTTTATGGGCAAATATTTTAGTGCTACCGAATTCTCAAAACTGAATAATACCAACTTTAGCAGGTGTTCGCCGCACACTTTGCAAGACGTTGGTATATTTTTGAAAAAAGATTTTAATATCGATCTGGATAATCAAGAATTGTTTATACGATAATTGTATTAATAAATTAAAATTCGTACACCTAAATAAATTAATAATTTTTACCAGATTCAGATAAAAATACTGTGTATGCAACCCTATATTTACTTTAACTCATAGAAAAATTAAGTTTTTTGCACGACTTTGAAAGTACTGTACTTTTAGAGAGTCACATTTACATCCAATATTCCAGATAAATTTCTATGCCAAACATTTTGGAGTTAAGATACTTTGCTATTAGTTTAACTTTTTTGACAAAACCAAATTGCTTTATATTTTTTCAAAATTAAAATTAGATGTTAAATGTGGAAAAATGTGTCAATGGAAAATCAATCAATATCAAATCCATTATTTTACTTGGTATTTCTATACGCTCTAAGTGATATTCGACCCATGGTTTTGCCGTAGAACTATTATTTCTGCAAATTAAATGTTTATATCTTTAACGCAAACAAAATTTATATTTTTCTTTTTTTTTAAATCATTTTTAGTTGTGGTGAGGCAAATAAAAGTCTGAGCTGATTTGCTTAAAAAATTACCCGTTCCTACACAGAGAAAGCCCAGACCATTGTACATTTTTTAAAAACTAAGCAATATTGAATTAATATTAAACATAATATTAATATTTTATAAGCAGTTAATATGGATGGTTAAAAATAAGACGTTTAATGTTTTAACAATCGCAACCAATCCGATACGATATGGTTGTGGGGCTATCGGACATTTCACAAGAATTTATATGTATCACATTCCACATTCGTAGCTAAATTGTTTTAATGAACCTGTGTAAAATTAAATATGTGCCAGTGGAATGAGGCTATAAATGATCTGTTTGGTATATTAAATGTACTTTCACAATAGTATTACGTGGTATATTTTAAGACATAGTTATTTGGTATTTATAAATATGCTGCGGCAGCCACACTGTTAGCTGTTCGGTCGTGGGTGGCGCATCATCGCGTTTCTGCAGCGAATTTAACAAGTGCAAAATTAGAGTAATTTCGCCAGTTGATCCGTGCAAATATATAGTAACCATCGTCTGGAGTTTGCAAAAACGAAAAAGCAAACGCAGCCAGTCGTTGTCAGTGTGGCTGCCTTTGGGTAAGCAGCGTCTTTCAAGTGCGTGTTTAGTGTTTCTGTGTGTGCGTGTAAATGTGAGCCTTTTCACCAGAAAAATGTAAAACAAAAAAATAAAAAGTATTGCTTAGGCAATCAAGCATACAATTTATACAGATGCATTGTTTTAAACAAAATTGGCTACATGCAAAAAGCGCTGCTAAAAAAACGAAACTAAAATCGTTGTGTGGGGGAGGGGGTTTTCATCTATCTATCTCGTTCTTCCGTTCTTGACAAAGTGGAAGTGGAAAAACCAGCGACTACATCAACAAAAGCGTGTGTCTCAAATATTACAATCGCAACTCGTTACACTCTTTAGTTGCCAAGTTGTGTTTTCAATTATTGTAAAACAAATGTACATTGATATTTTCCAAAACACAAACTACGTACGACGCCCTTTGGAAAAACAGTTGTGTTGGTGTGCAGCTGCTGTTGTATTGGTGCTGCCACCTTGTTCGATTTTTATGGATTGTTTTTGTTTTATCACTGAAGTTTTTTAATTTTATTTAAGTGGCAAATGTGTAAAACGTGTACTTAAAATTTTATTTAATTTGTGTCTCCACATAATCAGCTGTTTGCAACCTCAACGTTTCCGCCCACTAAAAGGAAAAACCTGCGGAACTTGTCGTTTTGATTCAAAAGGTAAGTTCTATTAAAATAGTTATAGTACAACATCTAAAACTAAATAAAATGCAGTAAAGAATTTCCAAAAAAAATATCCCTTAATTGTGATACAAATGTTCTTAACGTTGTATAATTCGAGGAGTTCATGCCAAATATTATTTAAAGTTATGTCGAGAGCTCGAAACGATTTTCTAATTTTTTATTTACTGCAGAGTATTTCCAAACCTCGAATTCTTTCTTGAATTTTTATGTTGGCAAATGGAGGTTCCACTGTGCTAAATATAACGCGATAATATAACCTCTTACTTATTTTGTATCAAAGTTAACATAAGCTGCCATTCGTCCGCGGCAATTCCAGGCTAATTTAATGTGCTTCTGCATTCCAAAAATAAATCCTGCGTGGAATTTGCGATGAGGACACTTAATCCTCGCGCTTCACCCTGTAAAATATGTTCATTGAACGAGTTGTCTAAAAATAGCAGACCATCGAGAAGGAAAGGCTTTGGCTTCGGCTTCGGTTTAAGTCTTCCGAAGTCGGGACGACTCGCCTTGGGCATCTGAGCTTGAAATGGGCAATTCAATTTGCCCGTTGGTGGAATTTCAATTTCGCAGTCAAAACGGTTTGTCGAGTGCGAAAAATGTTTGCGATAATCAAATCAAATCAGCGCCAATGAGGTTAAACAGGGGAGGGCAACCCTGAATTGCTCGTTCAGAAATGACTTCGTCTGCTTCTCTAATGAGGATGCATTCAATTAAATTCAAATTTTTCACTTGCATGTGGGCGCATAAACACAAAAATGAGGAGTTCTGCGGATTAGGTTATATATTTTATGCTTATGAAAAGAATCTTAATAGACTATTTATGTAAATATTTCTTTGCGGAGATCACAATACAAGCGCCAAAGGCTTGTCTATATATTACCTTAGATTTTAAAATTTCGAACCCCTACAAAATATGGTCTATGCTCTATGTTCTTCTGAGAGAGTTGAAATAAATAACTATTTGCAGTTCTCTATCCGATACAAGCCTATGCTGTACTTGTATTTTGCCGGAAAAGATCAATTTATGGACTAAACTGAGTACGTTCGCTTCCAGCAATTTTAGCGCTTAATTATTTTTCACTCAATCGCTGGAATCGCAAACGAGAGCTGCAATAACAACAGATACAGAAACGTATTTGTACAAAGGTTTCCGTATTAATTCTGTATTTTTCATCTAATAAAGGGGGATTCGAAGCACTGGGGGCAACCCAATTCCCAGGGCTAGTTAGGGAGAAGGAATGAGACGAACCGATAGAGAGAGATACTCGCCAGAGCTTGCTGAACCAGTCCGACAACATTTGGCGATTTGAATGTCGCTAAGAAGATGGAAAGCAAACCGAATAATTCTCCTTGTTCCGCAGTGTATCTTAGTATCTTTCAAACTACTACTGGGTTTATACGAGTCTATTTCATGCAATCATCTCATTCAAACGTTGATAGGTTGTGTACATAATAATCATTTTATGTATTCACTAACCCATGAAAGTCATCTATCCAAGAATTCATGAAATTTATAGCATAAACACAGTATTCGTATAGTTTTGCCTATTAGTGTCTGTGCACTTCAAGTTCAAAGCTCTTTTTCGACAGTCGCTGAAAGAAACTTGAACAAACATGAACGAGGTACAGAGAGAAAAAGAGAATTATATACCTATAATATACATTATACATTTTTTGAGGTTTTAACTTGCATGAGATTTGCTTTCTTTTCTTTGTTTTCCTCTTTTTTTTTTGCACTTTGTATACATTTAAAGAAAACAAGTATGTATATGGCTTTTTCTCGTGAAATGTTTATATAAACCGAAATAAAGTGGGAAATGTGGGGGCGTTAGGATACCGCAGAAAGGAATTTGAGGTTAATATATGATTCTTTATGAATAGAAAACTACTATCTTTAGATTTGTTAGTTAATGTGCTCACTTTTGGTATCCTAATCTATTGGAGATACTTGGATTTGTTGCCCTGCGGCACGCAATCCTTCCGTCTCCTCGTTTGCTGTCCTTCCTTATCAACAGACTCTCAGTAATCGTTGCCCATCATCATCCCCATTATGAACGCCTCAACGCAACTTGCATCATCTTTGGCTGGCATGTGGAAAAAGTGCTTCCGACTTCCGTATGAATGCTACATTTTCTGCTTTTCGCTTTGCACTGCGCTCAAAGGCAAAACAAGTCACTTGGCTGGCGTTTCCTTGCCATTAAAGAGGACGACAAACCACCCCAAACACACCACTGCCAAACAACAACAGCTTATTGATTTTCTACAACTTTGTGATGTTTAAACAGCATTTTAGTTCAGTTTGTTTGGCTATCGTGCAATGGGCGTCGTGTGCCGTCCACGCGCCTTTCCACTCCGAAGTGGGTCTAACCTGATGGATGGGGGATTATCGGGGCAGGAGGACAGAAGCGAGTTACATTCATAACATTCATTCACCTGTGGGCGACACGCCTCGTTCACTTCCAGGAATCGCTCGTGCCTAGTGGACAGGTGTATCAACTTTCGGAGGTTGACATGCAAATTACAAAAATGAAAACTTGAAAGGTGTTTGAGGTGGTGGTGGTGGTGGATGGATGTTCGTAGAGTGGAATGGATTTGTTTTGGGGGTTTGTTAAAATCAATTATTTGGTTTGTAGGTCAACATTCTTTCTCCCCTCCCCTCCCCTATTTTTCTTTTTTGGTTACGTTACGTTGGGTAATCCACCACAAAGTTTACATCATGTGTGGCTTTTTCCTTCTCCTTATAAGGGTTCGCTGAACTTTAAAAAGAGACCGCTTACGCTGCTCTTTGAGTCAGACATCTGTCTGCTTACTGTTTCACTGCACTTGAGTCCTACACTAATTTGCATATTTGGCAAACGCTACACTTCCTTTACGCCTTCGTATACAACTAAAAGTAAAAGGGTGTTTGGTAATCGGGTCCATTTCAGAGGTAAAAAAAGACTTTCCAACCTTCTAAAGTATATACTTTCACGATCAGCATCAATCAAACTATAACAGCTTGAGTCGCGACTAAGATATGAATTGGAATTATTTGTACGTAATGTTTTTAACCAGTAGTTGAACAAACGAAACCATAATCTCAAAAGTAACCATATATTGCATTTATACAATGAGTCATTTCCTAACAATAGCAAAAAAAAAAAAGTGATTTCCGCCAGAGATTTCTTTAAACAACATTCGCAGATTATAATGAGAAACTGGAACCATTTAACAAAATTGCAGACATGAGCGCGGTAGATAATTTTTAATTTAATACCCTTACAAGACCGACAGTAACTTTAAAAAAATGTATTAGTCAAGGTCGAATAAATTTAATCGAATTTTTGGTTTCAAAATTAAAGAACTATAAATACTTTAAACTCGATAAAACGAACAAATGTTTCCTTTGATTGCGACTCTTTTCAGCAGTTTTTATCGGTATTTGCTTTTCCAGTTCCATGGTCTCCCTTCCTCTCTTCCTCACCAGCTAATTTGCATGTGATTTAAAATTCGAAATACGATTCATTGTTATTTTTGGTCTTTTAGTGCTTTTGCACTCGCTGAAAACGGGTTTTTATTTCGGTCTTGCTCCAATTATGTTAAAGTTTTAGGAATGCGCTTCGTTGGAACATAAAATATTCATAGGGTTGTTTTTTTAAAACCAATTTTTTAATGAGTAAATCAAAGTTAATTTGCATGTCCAGGTGCTTTTTCATTTTCTCCTTTGTCATGCTTTAATATTTAAAATTCGATTGTGCAGATTTATAAGCCAAGGTCACTTAAGTTTGTATTTTTGGATTAATTAATTTTTATGGTCTCTAATCTGCTGGGGTCTAGATTACTTAGAATGAGTGCAATTAAACAATTTTCGTGTTTTGTTATCGATACGGGGACGGCGTTTCTCGTTATCTTTTTCGTCTTTATCAGAGCAGGAATACTGTCATACATTCTCTAGAACCTGGCATTCTTGAAAGCCCTGGGCGCGGTTAGCCTGGTTATTATTATTATTTTATTGTCATTGTTTGATTTTAAGCTGTTTGCGCTATTTTAATTGTTCCTTTCGTTGGCCACACTTATCTTATCTTAACTTAACGGGCTACACAGGAACATAAAGTTACTTTCTTGGCTGACTAAATGTTTTAAGTGCAAACAGATATCGATAAGATCGCCTTCTGATAAGTTTAGATAAGGATTGTAAATTATATTTACTTATTTTTCGTATTAAAATTATTGATTTATAAGAAAGTTAGTATGGAATATTTTGAAAGGGGAGATTGGATTTTATGAATGAATAAACAATTTGGCGAAAAATGTTGATATGCTTAAATTCTCTCATATTATTTAAACTATTATTTTCCACTGACGGTGTATTCTGTATCAAAACCTTTGTTGAAATTATGTTCATTGCAAATAAGTATGATGGGCCCCTAAATATTGAAGAAAACTGTGGCAAGAACTCTCTCACTATTTCTCTGTACCTTTTCTTCATGTTAATTTCCACATACGAGACTTTGCCGTTTTAAGTGTGAGAAAATCTGTTTGGCTTTTTGCCCTAAAACAAGTTTCGTCCGCTTCTCATTATTATGTTTTGCCTTGCTTCTGTTTTGTTGTGGCAACTATTTAGCGGTACCCATTCTGTTTCCTTGTCCCTCGGTTTTGGAGGTTATTTCATTTCAATTGCCCAATATTAAATTTTTCAAGCGTAACCTTTAAAAGGCAGTAACAAAAGCTTACATTTACATATACAGTCGTATAAGCTGATGATAATTTTAGTTTGTGCAAATATTTCCTGTTTGTTGAACAAATAGTTAAGCATGAAATTTGTAAATGAGTTTTACAAACTAAAGAAAATCTCAAAAATCTCATGAATATCTATAAATCATTAAACTGTTTAGAAACTTTGAATTATATACGAGTGTTTTATTTAGTTCACTAAATAAATAACTTTATCAAATAAAACTATTGAAATCCCAGCTTGTTTTAGTGTTCGGGTTAGA